CCCGGGAGATCCCGGACTTGGGAGATGTCCCAGCCCGTCCCACCGCCAGGCTTGGTGGTCCCGGTGCTGCCCTGGCACCTCCTGGTGTCACCGGCAAGGCGCAGGTGTTCCCTGGGGCCGTGGTGCCGAGCTGGGTGCCAGCACCACCTCCTGCCCCCCTGGATTTCTGGGGAGGCTGGAGAGCATGGGGTAGGATTTGGGGGGGGCTCCAGCAGTGCTGCTTTGGGGCTGCAAGCAGGGACTTCCTCAGTCTCCCCGGGCACACGTAGTTTTTGGGGTCTCTGTCTCTCCCAGGCAGAGGTGGGGGGGTCACTTCCTCGGGACCCCCAAGCTGCTGCCTCCATCAGTCCTGGGCGGTGGGAACAGGAGGGGGTCCAAGCTCACGGTGATGGAGGGGGCAGGGGCAAAACCTCCCCATTTTGGGGCAAAAGGAAGCGGGTCTGTCCCCTGGTGTCCCCGGCGTCTCGAGGGCCACCCTGGCGCGGGGGGCGGCGGGAGGGGACGAGGACAAGGCACAGTCCGGTGTCCCCGCGGGGGCGGCCGGGCCGGGGGGTGGCCGGGGCGGGGGTCCATCGGCGGCGGTGGCGGCAGCGGTGCCTAGACATCCTCGTCCTCGCTGGCCTTGCTCCAGCGGTGGCAGCAGTTGGCCGTGATGCCCAGCAGGAAGTTGGTGGCCACCGAGGCGATGGAGACGACGAAGCCGACGAAGGCGATGAAGAGATAGTCGTCCAGCGTCAGCGTGAGGTGGCAGGCCTGGAAACTCTCCTCCGTCAGCGAGAGCAGGGGGGCCCCCGCCACCTCAGGGGGGGCCCAGCACTCGGCCTGCTGCGAATCTGTGGGATGGGAGGGGGGGAGCACGGCTTTAGACCGGCCGCCGGCCCCCGGGACGGGGGTGGGGGCCGGAGGGTCCGGCAGCACCTACCCGAGGCGCAGCGCTGGATGCGGCCCCGCAGCCACTTGAGGAGGGGCTCCATGGCGCAGCCACAGAGCCAGGGGTTGCCCCCCAGGCGCAGCCCCACCAGCCCGGGCAGCCCCTCGAGGGCGTCGAGGCTGATGGCCGCCAGCCCGCCGTAGCTCAGGTCCAGCTCGCGCAGCTGGGCCAGCCCGCGGAAGGCCTGGGGGTGGACGCGGCGCAGCCCCGGGTTGTGGCTGAGGTCGAGGCGCAGGAGCCCGCTGGCCTCGCGGAACATGTCGGCGGGCACCAGGCTGAAGTTGTTGTAGCTGAGGTCCAGGTGCGCCAGGCGCCGGGCGCCGCGGAACAGCCCCGCCGGCAGCGCCGCCAGCGAGTTGTTGCGCAGGTCGAGGGCCCGCAGCTGCCCGTAGCAGCCCAGGTAGCCCGGCGGGATGCTGGAGATGCGGTTGTGCGCCAGGCTCAGGTTCCCGGTGTCCAGCGGCAGCTCGGGGGGCACGGAGAAGAGCCGCTGCCCGCTGCAGTCCACCGCCTGCCCGCGGCAGCTGCACAGCACCGGGCAGCCCGCGCCGGCCGCCGCCGCCACCGCCGCCGCCGCCACCAGCCAGGGGCCCAGCAGCATGGCCTCGCGGGCCCGACCCTCACGGGGCGCCGGGGGCCATCCCGCCCGCCCGCTCAACGCCCGGGGCTCAGCCGGCGGCCGGTCGCGGGGCCCGGCTCGCAGCGGTCACGGCGATGCTCCCGCCGTCCCGGCGGCATCCGGCGGGCACGAGAACCCCGCCGGGGGCACCGGCGTGGCCGTCACCGGCTGCCTGCGAGGAAGAGGAGCGGGGGGGAAGCCGTGCCGGCCGCACGCCCCTGCCGAGGAGGCCGCAGCTGGTGCGGCCGGAGTGGCCTGTGGGGCACCCACGCCCTCCCCACACCCCTCGTGCCACAGTCACCTCGCTCCTCCAATACCCCCTTGGGGATTCCAGCCAGAACAGAGCCCTCCAGCCCCTCTGACCTTGGCCAGCCCATCCTGGCTGGTGGTGGGCAGACTGGAGGTGCTGCTCCACAGCCTCCCGCCAACCCCCTGACAACCCCACGCCACCTCCAGCTCAGCCTAGTGCAGCAGACACTTTCTCCACCTCCCTCCTGGGGGGAGACCTCCATGCCCAGCTCCCACCGGGGTCCCCCCAGGCCTGATCTCGGCCCCCCGCCACCTGACCATGTCTGCTCCATCCTCCCTCTCCCACAGCCTCCCAGCTCCATCCTCTCCCACCACCCCGCCTTACCCCAGCCATCCCCATCCCGACAGCCTCTCAACCCCTCCGGCAGGGCTGGGGTCCCCCTAGGGTACTCACTGGCCAGGGGGGAGCAGGGCCTGGCTCCCTGTGCTGATGTGAGGGTCCTGGACGGTGATGTGGGGGGCTCCAGGGAGTGATGTGGGGGTCCCCAGCGGCCACCCACACCCCGGAGGCCACAAAGTCGTAAGCAGGGCTCTGGCAGCGGTGGCCAAGGCTGCTGCGAGCCCGGCGATGGGAGCAGGTCTTTCCCCACCTCCTTCCTCCCCTCCTCCTCCTCGTCCTCCCTTGTCTCTCTCTTTCTCTGTCTCTTTTTTTTTTTTTTTTTTCCTCTTTTTTTCCTTAGGGCCAGATACTGACGTGTCGGTGTCTCTTAGCAACTGCCTCCACATCTCTGAGCAACAGGAGAGCGGGATGCGGAGCCGCCGAGCCAGGGAGACGGCGGCGGGCGGAGATGGCCCCACCCCAGGGAGCCCCTACCCAGGCCGGGGGACCCGCACCCACACGGCCCAGGCACCCGGCAGGGGAGGAGTGGGAAGAGAGGTGGCATCCTGCCCCCTCCCCCGACCCCGTCCCCAGCCCTCCCGCACTCTCCCGGCCCTGGGAAGCATCCCCGTGGGATGGGGTGAATCAGGGGTTCCCGGGTGCTGAAAACAGAAACAGATGACGTGTCGGCAGAGGGGAGAAAGGAGGCAGCTGGGATCCAAGGGGAGTGCTGGGATCCAAAGGGAGCTCTAGGATCCAAAGGGAGCACCGGGATCCAAGGAGAAGGCTGTGATCCAAGGGAAGCACCAGCACCCTTGTGTCTCCCTGCTGTGCTCACAGCCCCGGAAAATGCCTCAGGTTGACATGGATTGTTTTGCTCCATGCGAGCTGAAACATTCCCTTTCCCTTTTCTGTTCAGGGGTTGTGCAGCGGGTTCAGCCACCTGCCCCCTCCCACTGGAGAACGGCCCCGTGGGATCGCAGGGATGCCCACGGTTTGCTCTGGGAACGCTGAAACACCGTGGCTCTGGTGTTTCTGGGAAGGAGGCACTTCCACCCCCAGCCTGCCCAAGCCTGGGGGATCCCTGCTTAATTATCTCCTGCTGGTTTCATGGAGCTGCTCCTTTTCCCAGCTGGCACCAGCAGCCCCGATCCCGGCGCTTGGGGGCCTTTTGCTCCCCGCATCCCATGGGATGGATCCTCCCCGGCGCGGTGCTGGCAGACAGACGGCACAGCCGCCTTCCCCGGGGTGGCATTAACGGGCATTGCTCCAGGCTCGGGCTCCTGGTGAGCTCCTGGGAGCTGCAGGAGCTCGAGGCCCGGGTTCCCAGCGGGCTCCAGGAGCTGCGGGAGCTGCGCACGGTGCCCGGAACCAGCTGCAGCACAGACACCTCATTAGCGCTCGGCCTGGAGCTGGCAGCAGCTCCCTCCCAGCAGCTGTTGGCACCGAGGTTTTTTCCACTCCCCCCGGGTGTTCCAGGCTCTGTTGGCAACAAATTAACTGGGAAATTGTCCCGGCCGGGGCTCGGCTGCAGCAGGGCTCGCGTCCCCCCTCGCCAAACCCCCTGTGGATGCGGCCACACGGATGCCGCAGCATCCCTGAGGGAGCCAGGGATGTTCACCTCTGGGGTGGGAAGGACCTTGGCTGCCCTCTCCACCTCATCCACAGAGCCCCTGTGGAATCCCAGCCCAAGCCAAACAGCATTCCTGAGACAAAAGCCCCCTTGGACATGCGCTGGCTCTTGGGTTGGGGTGAGCGCTCCAAGTGCTTCCAGCCCCTTTTTGCAAAGGCAGGTGCTCCTGCAGGTCCCCAGGAACCGGGATGGCTCCAAGGATCCTGGCTCCACAAATCTGCCTTACAACCAGGGCCTTATCTCTTGCAGTCCATCACCACTCCAGTCAATCCCTGTGCGTTCAGGCTTGGGAGAGGAGGAGGGAAGGAGAGGGATGGGATGGTTGTAGCTCTGCTGCTGAGGAGAGGTCAAAGCTGTTGGTCTCAGGCAGGAGCCCCCCGAGCACCATCACACCCCTTTACCCTTCCCAAACCCCCATTCCCAAATAAACCCACCTCCTGCCCAAGCTTGGCCATGCACTGAAGTCTCCTGGGAAAAAAGGACACAGAAAAAAGGAAGTCTAGGCTTCCTTTTTCTATTAGAAGAGAAGGGTGAAGAGGCATTAGCCACTGTTTAAACTGTCCAGGGAGAGTTTTTCTAACAGCAGGAAAAAGATTCTGGCTCCAAGTAATAAGGGGGCACAGGAATTCTCGAAGGAAGAGGACTTGCACATAATAAATAGAGACAGTAAATGTATATGTCTATATATATGTATAGACATATACATATTTACGTCTATAAGAGATATTTATCTATACACATACATAGAAATATACATAAATAGAGTAAACATGTAGAAATAGGGTTGTGAAAACACTGTCCCCTCAGGGTGATTGAAAGAATCTAGTCTTCCCTACAGCAATTTCCAAGCTTTCTTGTGTGAGGGAAGATCCTGAGGGAATAGGAAATGGGGCATAACATATCTCTGCATCTTGCCTTGCAGAAACCACAGTCAAGTCAGGATTACAGAAGATTCCGAGTTGGAAGGGACCCCCAGGGATTGGGAGTCCATACAGTTACTGGTCTGGAATCAGCTACCCAGGCAGGAGAAAGGAGACACAGAGAGCGCTGGATTTCATTAAACACTTTTATTTTTGTAACAACAACAACAAGAAAAAATAAAAGTAAGTTAAAACCGTAAATACAGGATAAGTAAAACACACGTGGATGCCCTAAAATCCCCTCTCCTGTCTCGGCTCAGCTCTGCAAGGTGCAGGAGGGGCTGGGGCCGGGCGGTGAGTGCCACACGGCCGAGCTGGTGCGCTTGAAGTAGCGGGGCTTGCTCTTGTAGAAGATGTGCTCCAGCTGGGGGCTGGGGATGGCCCCAAACAGCGCATCCACGTCCACAGGGTGGTAGTACTGGTGCAGGACGGCCTGGTGGAGCTGTGTCCCTGGGGGAAACACATATCAGACACGTGGATGTGCCCTGCTTGACCCCAGGGGCCGAGCATTGCTCTTTCCCTCGGGCACTGGGGGTGTCCCCTCCCCGTTCCTCTCTCGCTGCTGGAGCCACACACACTCCTGGACTGTGCTCCAGGTGAGTCTGGGAAGGGAAAAAAACCTACCCCAGAGCCAGCACCTACCCTCGGCCCAGGCAGGGACGGGTTTCCGAGGGTCGTTCTCGTCGTCCGTGGAGTCGTCGCTGTTCAGGTCCAGCCCGTAGTCGTTCTCATCAGCTGCGGGGGATCCGGGTCCCTGCGCGCCCTTGGGGGGCCCGAGGCAGGATGTGGAGAGGGATTTCTGGAACTGTGGAGAGAGCAGTGATGAGCAAAGGAAGCAGCACTTCCCTGGGGCAGGACAGCCAGCCTGGCTGGGCAGGATGGACACCAGAGCCCAGTGGGATGGCCCCCGGAGCCCCAAAGTGCTCAAAGCCTGTACCAACACAAAACTCACTGGGCTCCCTGCCTTGACACCTGCTCTCAACCTCTCCTCCCCTCCTGATTTCTGTGGAAAAACCTGGGTAGAGCACCCTGTGTGTGTGTCTCAGTACTCAGCACATCTCCACACCCAAACCTCTCCCCGCGTTGTTCCGTGGCGGTTCGCCTTTCCCTCCCTGGGGCTCTGACACGAGCCGGGATGGAAGCCCGCAGCTCCAAGGTAAGATTCCCGGCCGAGGCAGCGCTCGAGCCCAACCCTGAGCAGCCTTTCCCGACGGAAGGCTCCGCAGCTCCAGCTGGCACAGCCGCGCTGCCCCGGGCCGCTCCCGGCGGGATGTCGCCTCAGGACCTGCTGCCATCCTGTGGTCGCTTCCAGCATCTTTCCGCCACATCTCTTTTTTTCCCCCCTCCCTCCCTCCCTCCCCCCCTCCCCACAAACCGCTTGTTTTTTCCTTCGGGTTCCCCGTGCCGAGCTCTGCGGTGGCTCCGGGCGGCGGGGGCTAATGAGCCACGGCTGGGGCCACCCAGGGCTCACCTTCACGGCTTTGCTCAGCCACGTGCCAGGGGCAGCACTCGCAGCTGCTGCTGCTGCTGGTGGTGGTGGTTTGGGCTTTTTCTCTTCTCCCAGCTGCTGCTGACCATCTGCCTCCTGTAAGACACGGGAATTAAGTCATTCCTCGCCCGGGCTGCCTCTGGAACAGAGCCGTGTTCTCAGGAGCTCTGGCAAGACCCAACCCTCAGTCCCCTCTGTGCCTTTTCCTGCAGAAATAACCCCAAAAGCCAAGACTCTCGTCCCTGCTCAGGTCCAGCCCAGCTCCCCGGAGCTCACACTCACTTTCATCACTTGGAGCCAGGTGTTAAGAGCTGGGAAAATGGATCCTGGTTGCTCATCTCTCTTCTCCTGCCCAGGCCCCAGGGGTAATTCTTTGGGGTTCTCTTTCCCCTAATAAAGAGGGGAAAAAAAAAAAAATCACTGCTCAAGTTCCTTTTTAACCCAAACCCCCTTTCCCAGGGTTTCCCCTCCCATGCTGCTCAGTACATGGAGTTTGATCCACCTTCTCCTGCCTGGAGGAGCTTTGCCAGGGTCACACTCTGGCCCTGCTGCTGGCAGCACAGGGAGGATTCAGACCTTATATTGAATTTGTACAGCACAGGGGAGCCCAAATGCCAGGGACCAAGTGAGGGAGAGCAGCAGGAGCAGACACAGGGGGGAGAATTTATCCTGCAGAGGAGGGACCACTCGGGGCACTTATTTTCCGCTAATGAAGGAGTTACTTTAAGAGTAGAGAGCAGAAGAAAAATGTTACTGTGATATTTCGAGACAAAAGGCCCTGACTTTAAGCCCCAACATTCTTTGTGTGGGTGCAAATGAGGTGACATAGAGCTGTGTGGCACCTGAGGTTTGGTTTGGGGGGTCACATCCTCCAGGCACAGTGAGGGAGTGTGGCAGGGAAACAGAAACAAATATCCAATTTCCATACTCATTTCAGGATCAGTGAATGCCCTTTGAGGTGCTCATCCAAGTGCCATTTCATGGCTGTGACAGAGCCGAGGGCTCACCTGCCAGCCAGGGAACCCCCAACAACTTAGCAGCAATTAAGACTCTGTGCAAGAGCAGTCATTATTTTGATTGTTATTTGATCCTCTAAATAACGTCCCAGCAACACAGCACTTGGAAAACATCTGATCCCAAACCCAGCCTGCGTGCTGCAGAGAGGCTGTTCCCAGAGCACTCCAACCCCACCTTGGTGGTCTTGTCAGCCAACACTGCTGGCTCCAGCTGCGCC